TTAATTGATATAACAAAATATAGAGATGTGTTTTTGAAGATGCTTTCTCCGCAGTCTAAGTGCGGGTTGCCTTGAATAATATCTCAAACTTCTTCCAGAGGTGGTATCTCTTTGGTTTGTGACCAGTGTTTACTCATGGAACTTTATCAGCACAACATCATAAAAACATTAATTTATGTACTTGTTAAAAAAAAATAGTACCTAATAAGGGGTGGAGAAAATTGGATTGAAGAATCCACTAGGAGCTGCTAAATAAACCAAATCAGAGTTATAAACCTATAGGTTGAATGTAATTGGAGGCTGCATTGAAATACTCATGTGCTCACTCAGCTCTTGCTCTTCTTTGGACATCTACTTATGGCTGTGGTTCAAATCAGAATTCCAAGGCAAATGGACCTTTAGTCTGAACTGCTGCAGCTGTTCTTATGAATTTTAGTGTTACTGTTTAAGAGAGGGTTTGGGTTTTTTTTTTTTAGAATAGTATGCACATCCTGAGTGCTAGATTTTATTTGGCTTTTGTAGTTAGGGACAAACGGCTGAATTTCCCTTTATTTCAGCAGGCTATATGTAAAATAGGCAAAATGTTTGTCTTTACCTACATAGAAACTGCATTCTAAATAAATATTTCTACTAGGTATTATATTGGTTAGGACAGTGGAGCTCTTGGCTTGATGCTATAGTGATACAAATGTTTGATTACTGTGGGCATACTGGCAGTCTGACAACTTGTCTGACTATAGCCATGACATCAAAATGTTTGTCATCTGTGTCTTTGAAGAGCTAGCCTCTTTCCATAATTATAAACTAATGTCACTGGGATAGGTGAGTGTTTTTGCTAAGTAGATGTTCTGTTTTTCTCATACCAACTAAGTTGCTCAACTGTTAGCTGTGTAGTATACACTGAAATCCCAGATGTTGATGCTGAATGTTGCTGATAATTTCCTTTTGCTATTTATTAGGACCTGGGCCTGGATTACTATGTAATAGGAGAATCATTTGAGACATCTGTTCCTTGGGATAGGTAAACTGTGATTATTCCTAAGAATAATTTGAATGAAATCGAGTACAAGTTTTATGCAATTCTGAACTCATGCTTGCTCATGGGGGAACTTAATTTAATTTAGGCCTTATGTGTATTGGAGGCTCCCTGATGTCCCTCAAGTCTTGCACCTGTGTGTTCTTGTGAAAGGTGCTACTAAATTACATATCAGAATTTTGTAAATGCAATGTAGGCAAGCATTCAGTAATATTTCTGCTTAGGTTAACTTACTGTAACAAACTCAGGACTTGAAATTGCCCAGTTTAGGAAGCTGGACAATGGTGACAATAACTGTATTGTGTGATGAGCAGCCACATGTGTGGGATCGGCAGTATATTTCAAACAAAAGTTCATAGTGAAGATAAAAAAAATTATTTAAATATATTTAAATATAGGGTTTTTTCTTTCCCCAGTAATGCAGGGAAAGGAAAGAACGGAAAAGATAGCTTTTGCCCTAGATAAATCTTTTTAAAATTTGAGGACAACTTTAAAGCAAAATTGCTCTTTATTTTACGTTATAGATCTTGAAGTATGCTAACTGCTTAGTCACCAATTTGTTTTGCCTCTCCCTTGTTTCAGGAGAGAATGACTTTTTATCTAAGAACTTAAGAAAATACTTGAAATTGTGCTCACCAAAGCAAATGCTTTCAAAAACTTTTTCTACTTTGACTCACAAGAACTATGTAATTTTCTACAAATCAATCAGTTACCCTGTTCCTGACTGAAGATAGTTGAATATTTAGCTTTACTTGTTTATTCACTAAATAGATAAATTTCTCTTGTGTATTCCTTCTCAGTCTGCAAAGTAGTTCTAAAACTGTGAAATGTCTTAAAAATCTGAATAGTATAGCAGACCTTCATGGAAGAACATATAACTAAAGAAAGGGTCATTTGAAAAACCAGTGATTTCTTTCAATTGTTCTAGCACTTTGGATGCTCTTGAGCCTGCCCTGGAAGGAAAAAAAAAGCAAGTCAAATAAGTATGGCTTATGACAAGGTTTAATAGCTCACTTCCATATTAAATCTATAACACTTCAAGCTTGCACACTAATGCACAGCTCTAGTATCTCCAGTTTTGGCCTTGCAACATACCGAAGGTAGCAGAGTATACAAGGCCTCAGTTCTCAAGCTTTCTGTGAACTCTATTTGTCAACTACTTTGCCAAAAATCTGAAGCTGTTTTGCTGAGATAGTAAGTAAAGACATACAGAAGTGGGCAAACTCCACTTTCTGTTGAACACTTTTGACTCCAAGCCCTTACGGGAAAGAGCTTTCGTTACGAACTGTGCTTCAGAGTAAGCTTGCTATTCAGCAGTACAGAAAAAGCAATACCAGTGAAGTCTTGATAAAGGACTATTTTATTCTTAGAACAAAATCTACGCTACCTAAAACTGGTTCTAGAAAGCAGTCTTCTGTTTTATTAGATTATACTTTAAAAAAAAAAGATTATTGAAGCTGAAGTTGTGTTTTTTAAGAAGTTGTATAAAATAATATATTAAGATTTTATATTTTAATGTCTCTTCTGTTACAGGGTTTTGGACCTTTGTAGGAATGTAAAGGAAAGGATAGTAAGAGAATGCAAAGAAAAGGGTGTTCAGTTTGCCCCTCTTTCCACCTGCAGGTAAGCTGTGCAACAACTTAATCATTTTTCTTGAATCTTTTCCTTAGTTCTCTTACTAATCAGAGGTCATTATACTTGCTAGCTAGTAAGTAAAGTGCACCTATTAATGATACTACAAACACAAGTAATCTTGATCTTCCTCTTTAACCTGCAAGTAGATTACATGTAAGAGTGAGTAATTCAAGGCATTAGTAGCACTTGATTAGCCATGACACTCTTATATGCAAGAGTCAAGTGTAATGACTTAAAGAGCTTCAATTCTCAGTCATAGCATTGAGTCACTCATGAAGTATAAACAAAAAGGATACAAAACTATTTTAAAAAAAAAAGATGCTACCCTTTTAAATAAGTAACCTTATGAACTGTCTAATGTCACATAGTGGCTAGCTTAATATCATAAAGCTTTGTTTATAATGCAGTTCTCTTCAACAGGGTGACACAGACTTATGATGCAGGTGCATGTGTCTACTTCTACTTTGCCTTTAACTACAGAGGAATTAGTGATCCTATTCATGTCTATGAACAAATTGAGGTAATGTATATAAGAACAATAGTTAAGGAGTGGAGGGGGAGAAGCTGGATGTTCCTTAATAATAATATATAGTGAACCCATTGGCCAAGCTAACTGAATTTTGGAGGAAAGATCTTAAAAGTCTGTTTGTAAAGCTTTGATCACGAGCACCCAAGGAAAGATGTGTGCTCTAATAGCACACCAAGTAGAGGAAGGATTGCAAGGTGACTATTATAAACATCAATAAATGAATACTTACGATTAAAGTACAGAAAAGCTTGAACTGGAGTTTGTTCTTGGATGGCAGAAACCAAAAAACCCAAATCCATGGGAAACAAGATTTCCTTGTTTCCATTACTTACAAAGCTGCTACTTTCACTTAATACTCAATTAGTCTTTAAAATACGTGGTAAAACTACCAGGATCATGCTTTAGTAATAGTGCTGCATGTAGGAAATAATGAATGTGATGGTGTGTCTCATGCTATTTCAGAGGATTAACTGCGGTGGTTATTTCTGTTTAGGCCTAGATAAGTGCTGATCTAAGTCTGCTGTGTTAGACCAGTTGTATGCTGCTTTGACACTTACAAAAAGCTCTGGAATAACTCTCTGATTTAATACTTTGGCTGGTGAAACACTGTACTTACCTAGTTAGGAGAAATTAATATCCTTGTTACCTTGAAGGTGTAATAGTTAGACATAGAAGGACTATGACCAAACTGGTTTTCATCCTACTTTTTGGTTCATATGCTAAAGCTTCGGCACCAGAAAGTTGTTAATAGAACTATGGAGAAATAGTCTATTTAGAATATCATTCTTTTCATGCTTATTCTTTAGAAGTTTCTCTTCAACTTGGCAAGTGGATGTAAAGTTTTATCTACAAGTTTTAAGGCTTCTGTGCTGTTGAATCTAGGGCATGGGAGAATGTAATACTTGAGTGCTTATTTAATGAAACTTTATTAATACTTACATATTACCATTCATTTGATTTAGTTACTAGTGTGATCACTTGGATGCATGTGTTCCATTGTAGGTCACTAAATTTAACCTAAAAAAAGTGAGTTTGTCAACCATGTGTATGCACTCTGTGGCAGACTCAAAAAATCTCTGACTGCATAGGTATAGTTATATATGTTATTTCTACACTCTTTTGAAAAAACATTTAGTGCTTGGGCTTAGGAAAGCTTTGTTACAGCCTTCTAAGCTGTCTAACTATTCATAATCAGAGCTAAATGGGAAAGAAGATTGTAGAGCTTGAAAGTGTTCAAATATTTATTAACATAAAAATCTAAATTTTATTTTCTAGCACAAATTTCACCCATGAAAGAGTTGTCAGTTCTAAAGTACCTCGCTTCCTCAACTGGAATCTTGGAGATCTAGGTCTAAACTCTGGTCTGAATAAGGATCTTGAATCACTCTGGAGACCCTGTTTTCAAACTTCTTTATTGCAATATTTCTTTTCAGTAGTCACTTAACCTTCTTCCAGATGAGCATCCCAGTGACTAGACTATTCTTGTTTTGGCAAGGGAGAAGTGATCCAGAATATTCTGTTCAGGAATAATAAATTTGTTTTAACAGATGCCATTTTAAATGTCTTGGCTTTGATTAATGTTTATTTGGAAAATCTCCACTTCCATTTATCTGCAGACTTGAATGAAAATGTTTGCCTGTATTTTGGACCATAATGACTTGTGAAACTTTTCATACACCTGTGTAAATGAGTACGATAGCAAGCATTTCACTAAAAACAAACATCTTGTGCCTTTGCTATTGAATAAATACCTTATCTTTCTCATTTAGAGGGCTGCTAGAGAAGAAATACTTGCCAATGGAGGAAGTCTGTCACATCACCATGGAGGTAGTGTTCTCAGCATATTAATTTAATTGATACTGCTAAATATTCATGAGTACATAAATTAGTGTGTAATAGATCTGGGGAAAATATTTCACAGGCATTAATTGAAATTACTGGCAGGAATCTCCTGGCATTCTTTTCTAGAAACTTTTTACCTGTTTGCCAGACTTTCTGGGGAAGTGTCCCTAGACCTGGTTTGCTTGATATCAAAGTCACACAGTGTGGTATATTTATGAGTACCAGCTTCAAACCTTTGATAGGAGGTCTACAGGCTGAGAACCTGAAAATGTAGTTGATCAGTTTGTCTTAAGCAGCTTCTACTGAACCTTGTGTAGAGGTATATTCATTACAAAGACCTCAAATGAGAGTTTCAGTTTTAAGACAGTTTAGTATCCCTTGTGACTAGGTGGATGCTGTTAGCGCTCATTCCAGAGCACTTAATGAAAGTATGTGCATGAAAGAGCTAGTGACTTTAAACTGGGTTATGTTGCAATCTACCATTTGTTGCATAATTGATGTTATATAAGTATTGATATTACTAGCTTGGTGTCTGCTAACTTCTGACTATTCATTTTCTTCTCTCAGAGTTGGGAATTACTTGTCCTGAGTTACTAGCATCTTTGCAAGCTATTTTGTGCTTTAATATTAAGTTTAAGAGCCAGTGCCATGTATAAGTGATACTTCATGTACCTGATACTTTACATATGCTTTTCCTGCATATTCAGATAGTTTAATTTGATTGCATGTGTCCTGTATAATGCTGTAAACTTGGATGTCAAGGAAGACTTGTGAAGTTGGTTTGATTTGTGTAGCTAGCTTCTTTGAGCAGGTTAACTTAATGCATTTCTTCTCTCTACTCTCTTGGGGCATTGTCTGGCCACAGAAATAAGAGCAAAGAGGAGGAAGTCTAGTGGTTTAAAACTAGATTAAAATTTTGTACTACTTAAAAAGTTTGTGTAGGGCAAACTGAAGGGCAGAAGCTGTGCTTTAAAACGTGTTGGTGACTTACTGGACTTGAAACTTTTAACTAAGATGTCTGAAAACAGCCCAACTTTGATAGAAACTGAAATGGACTCTGCTTGAGTAATATCAGGATATTGTAAGATGTGTAGGTGATAACATTAGTGAAAACAGTTTCAGTATTTCTTGTTTAATATGCTCTTATCTTATGATTAAATCTTTAATATGGTGGTATAGTGGACTGGTCAATTCTCACATATGGGATGTAGAATTACCCCCTTGATGTACTATTGTGCTCTCCCCTGCTGTGGCAGCTGTATTTTACTGTGACTAGCATTTCATCCATTAACTTGCATGCAGCTGGAGCTTGTCACATGTTTGGATGTATTTGCCCTCACCATATGAAACCTTGCTTACAGCATATGTTGAACAAGGAAAAAAAACCTTATGTAGTGTTTTCAAATCCTTGTATACTTGAACTTTCTGACTCCAGAGATATTGAAAAGTTGGCTTCTGTTAGATTTCTTATGCTCCTGTTGTATGCATGACTGCCTCTTATACTGATAAATATTTTGTGCTTTGAATGCTTTTGTCTGGCAGTTCATGGTGTACGATATTAAAGATCCATTTTTCCTCAGTGCTTAGTAGATGTGATGCTGAGGTTTAGCCTAAATGTTATCAGTTTTATTTACTGACCTTCAGGTCTTGCCACTCTTAGCACTGCTAGGACTTGTCTATTGTGTGGGGTAAAAGAAAATACTGGTGCAATTTTTTTTAGTATTTGTCTTGTAATTGTGATTAATAACAGTTGTTTTTGGTATCTGGAAACAGACAGGCTGGTTTGTCTGCCTACAATCACACTGTGATAAATGGAGCTATTTTAACTCCGGTTTTGTGTATCAAAGAAAACAGATGTAGTCTGGGACTTGAGGCTATAGGAAATACAAAGGCTGCTTAAGTCAATCTTCATATGCTCCTTGCGTGAAGAAGTAGTCATATATGACAGTTTAAAATGTGTAAAGCTCTAAATTACTTCACATCTGCAGAAGCACTAACTGCAGGTATCTACAATCTACAGTGAGAACTGAAATCGTGATATTTTTTATGAAGAGTAACTTCAGAAATACTTTACTTTGGTTTTTATTTTAATCTCAGCATCTCTTCTCTCCTCCCCTCCCTCCAGGTTAATGAAAAATACTGTAACTTTAGCCAAGACACACTAAAGGTAGCAATCCTGATGGCTTTTTAGATGAATTCCAATGAATTCCCCCAATGAATTTTCAGACTTAAAACTTATAAGAAGCATAACTTCTTTATTTGTTAATGGATTACCTTAAAGATCACACCTTGCAATATGTAACAACAATAACATTCCAACAAAGAAATTGCAGAAGTATATCAATACCAGCCTTGTACAGCAGGCATCTCATAAACACAAGAAGCTGTAGCAAAGCCAGACATACACATCTAGGTAATTTATCCTTCCAATGTAACAATTACTTGTATTTTGGGGTAGAATATCCAGGTTTTTTGGTTTTATAAATCTGGATATCATTTCTATGATACTGCAACTTAAATGACTTTGTCCTTTTAATCAAATTCTCTTTTCTTTTTGAAGTCTTTCTCACTCTTGACTTTCAAATACTTAAATCTAATTGGTGAGTGTCAGGAATGGTTTTGCTACTTTAATGTTAGTATTTAACACTTGATAATGTTTCTGGATTATGTAATGAATAGAATTTACACTTAGGAAGAATCTGAGATGCATGTCTTGCTATAAAAATACACCCAAAATGCATAGCTGATCAGATAGCCACTTCTTACACAGGGGGAATTCAGCCATTCTCCAGTGCATCAGAAATTGATCTTTATAGAGGAGGTTATCGGAATTTTTTTAATGATCCTAGCAGTCTACTACCTAAATATGGTAGGTCTGTTTCTGACTAAACTTTTTGTGAATGAACTGCTGAAAAGCTTCTTAGTGGTTTTAAAGTAGTTTTTAGTGTTTGACTTTGAAGTGGTTTCTTATGCCTCCTTTGTCCCTTTCAACTAATGCTGTGACATAATTTTTGACTTAGTAGAAGTTTTTCAACGGTATTCAGGAATTAAGTATCCTAGTTGTAGCATTCTGTGTCTTCATTTCCTACATGAGATTTTAGTCTTGATTATAGTTTTTGCCTTGACTATGTCCTACACTTAGAAAGGGATAGTGCACATCTTTGAACATGGCTTTGATCCTTCCGCTTTTCTGGCCAGTGAGTATCTTTTGATTTGAGAGTCATTTAAGTAAGGGTTGCTAGAGCCACAGCTTCTAGAAACTTAACATTTAAAAAGCAGCATTAGGAATGACAATTTCTTGTAGATACAAGTTCAGGTTTAGATAAATGATTCTTCTAATCATTTAGGGCAAGCCCTAAACCAACCATATGATGTGTTGTACCTTGCTTTTCTGAATTCCTGTTTCATACAATACATGCTTTTTTTGTATATGTAAAACAACACGTGTTGAGGAAGTATCAGGAGTATACAACTATCACCCCTTTGGGGTACAGCATCAGAAGGGAGCTGGCTGGACTTGGGCCTGATCCCTTCTGTATTAGCAAGCTAAACACCCATGTAAAACTAAGGAACAGTGTAAAAATTAATGATAGCTTGTTTCCCTTGCAGGGACTATTCTAGCTGAAACTGGTTACTTAAGGAAACAATTATCAGCTTGTGGATTTGAGGAAAATACCCCCATTTAGTCACTTAACATACAGAACTAATTTTCATCCATTTTCTAGACAGATTGACTAGAATAAAGGTTAATGTAGCCCAGGCTCCACAGGTTTAGGTATAGTATCAATTTCCTGGCAGTTTATATAGGAAAAACCCAAACAAACAGAAACCCCACAACAAACAAAACCCAAACAACAAAACCCTAAACCAAACAAAAGCCTAAAACCAAGCAACAAAACTGAAAACAAACTCCTCAAAAAAAAAAAAAAACCCAACACCTTGATATGCCTTATTTGCATTCATCTACATGTTTGACATTGCAGTTCTTTGGCATCATTAAGAGGCTGTGGCTTAAGCTATACACTGCAGTAATTAACCCACAGAAACTACAAAATCTGGAATTATAAAATTCCCTTACAGGAGTTGAACATATTCTTTTCTCCTCTACACAGGAAAAATATCTTCTTACTTTTAAGTTAAGCACTAGAGACTGATCACGCTTTAATCTTAAACCTAGAGCTTGCTCTGCTGATTAGGAGTTTAAACTATGGCATTTGTTAGACATGGAGTAACCTCATGTGAAATAATATAATAATGCAGTTGTATCTTCCTCCTTGGTCCATTGAAGTCTTAATGGTCATCTTCAGTGTATTTGCCCGCAAATAAATGAAAAGGACTTTCTGATTCATCAACACAGAACTTGAAAGTACTTAAGTTGTCTAGATATCAAGTGAAAATGTGCCAGATGTTATGGTGATGGTAAATGTTAATTACGTAGTAGACTTTAGGTACATTGGTCCAGTATACTCCAGCATTACCACAGTATTCGATTAAAGCACTGAGCTTTCTCAGTATTGCAGAGTTCTCTCTGGAAGAGTAATAACCCATTAAGCAATTTCTAGGAGCAGAGAGATGCATTCTGTATAGACAGCCAGCTTCAGGAAGAGCCTGCAACAGCTGGAAGAGCCTCATCCTCCTGACCTGTTACTGCTTCTCCTCTTGCAGAGCTGTTCTGCAATAACTGTCCCTCTAAGTAGAAAGAGCTGGAGCAGGTGAAGTATGGGGCCATGAGCAGTGCCACTAGAGCCTATTTACACTAGGATCACACACTGCTATAAGTCTGTTCTACATGGGTGTAGAGTTATTCCTGGGATCCATCAGCTACACTAAAACTTTCATTTCAAGACTGTTCATTTGTGCCCAAGTGCACGTATTCCAAAAGTGAGAAAACCAATTGCTGCCTGCTATTTGCTAGCTCCATCCTTAGCAGATAAATTTTTTTTTTGCAGCCATCCAGATGCATTTTCAAAGATGAGCAAGTGTAGCCTTTATAGGCTAGGAGACCTGTACTCCCATTTTACCTTCTCTGTGGCCAGCAAGTATGTGCTGTTCATCTAATACAATTCTCTGTGAAAAACCATGCACGTGGGAAACTGTTGTCACTTTTGGCAGAGATTATGATGTCAGTGCATGTTTGGTTTTTTCAAAGGGTGGGCTTTACAGGAGGAGTATGGTTGCACTATACAAAAGTGTACTTTATTCCCTAACAGATTAAAAAGGCACTGGAAGCATGCACAACTCTTCTAATGAAACCAGCTAGGGGCTGGACCAGCATGTGTCAGAACTGAGAAAAAGTTACTTATCTAGCTCACATGTTTTTCTTTCATACATGGACTATAATGATAAAACTTGAAAATACTGCAGAAGTGAAATTGGTGTTGGACTTTGAGAGTTGATGCTGAACATGCTTCTTGACTTTCTTGTCTGAAGTACTTTGTATGAAGTAGACTCTGTCATGCTTGGGTGCTTGTACTCTATGTAATAGGCTGGGTTTCAGATTGAAGACTTGTGGCTTCCTAGCAGTCAATGTTTTAAGGCATTAAATTGCTTAGCACCCCTCAGGAACAGGGCACTTGCTACTTGTAAAACTTGAAAACTAATTCTGTTCCATTTACATCTTGGATAATTAAGATGTAAGATTAGGTGTCTTCAGAGAAAGAAGATGCAAGAAGGAAGGGCTGTATTTGTTTCCAGTTGGGGCAACAAGGATTGTGTGTGTAATGGTGTGTGTATAGCTGAGTTGACAAGTAATGACTTGTTAAGCTACTACAAATTGATTGTACAATGTTATGCTGTCTTGAGAACATTATTGATAATGTTATGATGTTGTATATAGAATCAGGTGAATTTGATCTGTTTTTAATTGAGAACAGTATACCAGGCTGAGAGCCTGTAAGTGGTAGATGCCTGGTTAAAATCTGGTTCTGTCCACTGTCTCGTGTCAGTTCTGTATAAATAACATCATCTAGGCCTAAAACTAAAAAGCCTACTTTCTCTAGGCTAGAAACGGAAAGGTGGTTTGCTCTAGTCCATGGTAAGATCAGGCTTAACTGAGATCTGTTATTGTTGAGGGAAGTCAAGGCTTCCTTGACCCAAAGTTGTTCTTTGGCTAGGCTTAGAGTGGAGTTAAGCAACTTTGCTACTTGGAAATGGTTTTGTGTTCATGGTAATGTCTCTCACTATTATAGCATTTTGTTTCTGCTTTTCCCTTCTCATCCTTGAAGCTAATTGGATTGTCCTATGGAGGAGAAACAGAATACTTACAGGGCAGCACTAACCTGAAGTGAAACAAATATAAACATTGTGTTTCTAAATGGTGCTCTCATCTGCACAGAGCCTTTCCTTCACTTGGTCTATTTTCCATTTAATCAGATGGACCAGCTTAGAATTCGAAGATCAAGATTGCTTCAATTCTTTTTAACTCTAATATGAAAACTTGAGTAGCTAAAAAATTCATGTATATCTTACTGACATGAAGAATAGGAGCAGAGCCTCAACCTACTGTTATCAAGGGGTTAAAATCTTTTCATTGAACATGTTTGTGAAGGACTGCTGGTAACTGTAGTACAGCTTTTTTTCTTTCCAGTTCACTAATCAAATGTATGTTAGATTTATTATTGCAAAAGTATAAACCATAGAAAATTTGACAAGATAGATGTGTAAATTATCGCTTTGACAGAACTAATGATGCACTCCAAGCACCTTCTGTTTTCCAGCACTTGGTGAGCGACTTCATTAAATATGCAACGACTGTTTGGTGCTGCTCAGACAGTAGTTCAGTTCCTTGTGGAATTGCATTATTAGTGGAGGTGTAAAAGAGGCAGGCATGCTAGCTGTTGGGCATCCTGCTGTGATTCTAATGTGCTCCATCTTGTTGGAGCAGTTGTTTGCAGTCTTTTCAGGACAATTACATCCATAACCACAGGACACATTCACTGAAACTATATTACAGATAACAGTTGAGAATGGTAATGACTGTTCTTCAGCTGCTTGTGTAAGAGCCAATGTGAGTGACTTGAGGTGATGGTCAAGCCACATCTATGAATTTTTTTAATGTAGTAGTAATATTAAGTATCCCCTGATAAAATTAACTACATCAACTTGCTCAGACAGTCACATTGTAGTGATGGTATATTTACAGATGGGGATTTTTTTTCTTGAGCTGGGCTGCAAAATACAACCACAGGTCCTACCACATGACAAATTCTTTTGTCCTTCAGTTAGGATCTTTGCTCTTGACATGCATGCTGCTAATAGTTGTTTTCTAGCAAACTGCAAATTTCATTTTCTCACATTACTTGCTTTTTCAGTTGGCATTGTGACTAGCTCATATTCCTTGAGGTATAAACAAATATACTGTGTTCTCCAGAGGTGTCCCTGTAATTTATTATTCTGATGACAGTTTGATGGTTACCCTGAGAACAGGGCACAAAAGATGGCTTGAATTTAGCTTCAGATACTCTTAAAGCATCTGTCTCAAAGCTTTACTATATCGCATCATACTGACAAATGGCACGTGTTTCAGGCTGACAAGTTAAATGCTATAGTGTGTTTAATGAAAAAATGTCCTTTATTTTGAGTGATCTGTTAAACCAGAGTTGATGACTTGGTTAATTAGTATGTGAACACTTGGCCATTTAACAGGACTATTGTGAGACTAGTGAAATGAGTTCTTAAATGGCTGGTGTTTCAGCTTTGCTTTGTATTTGGTATATGTTGTAAATATCTATCTTTACATGGGAAACGAAGCCCTTGTGTAATGGTATAGGAGCAATTATGAGTGCATGTAAAAATTCTTAAATGAAATAAGTTATTTTCTTGATTTAAAAATTAGGCTTTAAGCCTTCTCCTTAGAAAACAAATTTTTGCTATTTAAACCAAGATGGTTTTAAGTTTGAGTTCTGCTTTTACTTTAAAGCAATCAAGAGGTATAGAGTTCTGTCTTTTAATAATCTCCTCTTCAGTTCCCTAATTAAAATGAGTTTGGCTTTTTAAAACTTACTACCAATTCCCTATTTTAATAGAACATGTGATTTCAGCCTAAGCTTCATCTAAATTTCATAGTTTCTAAAGAAAGTAGACAGTGTGGAACACAGTCTTCCTCTGGGAGTATGCTGAGCTTAATGAGCTTGATAGTCTGGTGGGCTCAATAAATCAAATAAAGCAAAACATTTCTCATTTTTGAATAAAAGCATTTATCACACAGTGTTTATTCATTCATGGTCACAAGATTGATTGGCTCCTAGAATCCTGCCATATATTGAAACACTTTGTTTTTGTTTTTCCAGTAGGCAAATTGCGGAAGTGCTGGATGAAGGAGAGCATCTCTGATGTTGGCCTGGGAATGCTGAGATCTGTTAAAGAATATGTGGACCCCAATAACATCTTTGGAAACAAAAATCTTTTATAAAGCCCTGCACAACATGATGTACTAAAACTTCTTCAAAATTACTGTTGAAATTCCTCCACTTTCATTGTATTGATATCCCAGTAATCAAATATAACATAGACTAAACTTTAAAAACTAGTAACTTTGATTTTTTTTTGCCACCCCTTCCCCCCCTCCCCCAATAAAGTGTAAACATCACTCTTAATGTTTATGGATTTTTACTTACAATGCTCTTAACCCACTGGGCACAAAGTGTATTACCAACCAGGAAATGCAAATTTGGTTTTCCAAGTTTGGTTAGGCAACACAGCTGACAGTATTTTCAATGCTGGATGCTGCCAGATGTTTCTTACTAAAGCATCCCCTGCAAGGAGAACAGAGACTGACAACAGTGTGTTCTACAGAAGCAGCTGCTCAGCCCAGCCTTGTGCTAAAGGAAGGCTGCTAGGAGACAGATGAGAGAACACCAAGAAGTACTTCACTGTGCTGAAGGACTAAGTATGCAACAGACTTGTAACCAGTATGAATGTAGGTTTTGATCAAAAGAGACAATGTAAGTCAAACTACTTCTAAAAAGTCAGTAGTCGCCCACTGTAGTACTATTGAAAAAATCTTACACGATTAGCTGTTCTGAGTTGTATTTGCATTGCTGGGATAATCTTAAATTAATTGTAGGTCAGTCACTAAGTTTTGTACAATGGACGTTTCTCACTGTATGTTGAAAACAGGTTTGTAACAAAACTTTGCCTTCATCTGTACTTCAGTCTTAGTGTGTATGGTTTTTGCTCCTGTTTTGTTTGTTTTGCAGAGATGCAAAATATCTTTTTCAGTAAAAAAAAGTTTTGGCTATTCAAATGAAACTGCCCAGCACTGTCTTTTGAAACAGTCTCAACAGTTTAATAAAACACTTAAGCAGACAACATACTGTCATCTTGAAAGTGAGATGTCCCATTTTGTTTTTTTACAGTTTCCTATGGCCTTTATGAATCATTATGCTAGTAGCCACAATTTTAATTGTCCATTTAACTTTAAGAAAATGAAATATTTTCTTGATCAGTATCATATGAGAGTAAGCATTTTTACATTGAAACTTGAATCTTACAGTAAAACAAACTAAAAGTATTTGTCAATACTCATGATCCATTTTTAAGGTAGGTTCTTTTCTTAAAGCAAATTATCCAACTTTTTGATAATTAATGTATATGATTGCATATATAAATTACAGACTCTCCTTTGAGGACACTGTCTCTCTAGATGACTGCATCACAGCTCTTTAGTGTCAGTTTGGACACCTTTTGTATTGGTAGTGCCCTTAATGAGGAGAAAAAGAAAAAATTGCATTTTTGTTTTTAAACTATTTTAGAATACTGTCTAATTAGCTCTCAGTTTTGGTAATATACCAAAAAGAGTATAAAATGCTTGAAAAATACTCCATATCAGACAACTTTGAACTAGTCTAAAGATTAATTTCAATTCTATAACTAAAATGATAAAAAAAGACTGAAAACATCACTTTAAAATGCATGCTGTCAAGGTACTTAAGGAAAACTTTTTATGATCTGCAGGTCATAAAACAATGTTAATCTGATATTAGCAATGCAGCTAGACTTATTTTGAATGGTCTTTGTTTCACAACATTTAAACATAAAAATCAACTCTTGTATTTTTTGTTTTGGCCCTGATAGTTGATATTTCAGCAGCAACCAAAACAATAGGTGTAGTCTGTTTTTAGGAAAGTTACTCTTCACACTGTGGTTAAGTGTTCCTTAAGTATGCAATGGTGTCTCAGCTAAGTGAATCTGTATGTTTATGAAGGGGACTTCATCTTGCATGCTGCATGATGATGACTACGTGGCCACAGCTGGCATCTTGCTGCTGATTTGTATCACTCTGAAATAGAGATGTTTCTAGGAGTTGGTAAATATGAAGGGTGTTTATGTGCCTCAATGAAAGTGTATGTCTAACTATGAAGAATTAATTTTGAAGGAAAGTATGTGAAGCCTTTTTGCAGAATGACAGAACAAACAGAACTAAAACAAGTAGTCATAGCTCAGTAGTACTGGTCTCTTAAGATTTTGACCTAAAGTACTACACAGCTCTACAACATCCTCTTCAGTTCTTAATTTTCTGACTCTGGTTTCCCCATCCCTTTTTTTTGTACTGAAATTACCCAGGCAAAGCCTCCTTGTACTCTCTTATTTCTAACTTTTAAATAGCCACTGGCTTCTGAAGTGATTTAAAATGCAGTAAAGACTTTTACTGCATGTCAATTGTCCTATGGGAAGGTGAAATAACAGGCTATAAGTGTCTCAAAGCAATGTCACTGGATAGCTCTGAGGAAAAGATTAACTACAAATGTAATGGATTTTTTTCTAATGGCCACCCTATTGCTGTCTTCCTAATATTTTTCTACCTTATGAACTGGTCAGAGTTTAGTGAAACTGCAGTTAAAACGCATGTATTACTGACTCTTTAATTTCACATTTAAATTCCTAATGAAAATGAGTAATGCAAATCCAGGAGACCTAGATACACACAGATCATGACCCATTTAAAAGAAATCTCAACACTGAAGTCTTCCACCACTCTTTCTTCTGTATTCTCTACTTTCTAAAGACTTCACTTCCCATAGCTGCAGCCTTTCAGAGATGGAGTTTGATCCATGCAGATCAGAAATGCATCTTGGTATAACACATTACTTTTTTTGTTTGCTTGACTATTTTGGCCATATGTAAGTTACAAGCAGTTTTAATTAAGCTTGTCATGACTTCCAATTACACGGCTTCTGCTCTCCTTGAAGGAAGAAAGGTGCAGAGTGAGTATGGCTTGACTGTGAAATGTATTTACATTAGACTTATATAAAAAAAGTTTTGAGGGGAAAGAAGAAAATCTGTTAGAAATTGATCTGGGTCTAAATCTTACAGTCAAAGAAAAGCATATCTTTTCTTGGGTTGGTTGCATTAGAGATGTCATCTTTGCCTTATAGCTGTGAACAGAGGCCAGGACAAATAGTTCTTCTGTAGCAATGTTAAGTAACTGCAGCCAATTTCAGAGGCAGGGTTACATTAGCACTGAAATCCAGAAAACACAAATTGCTTCTCGATCTGGGAAATGTGTGTTTATCGAGGTTGTAATTAACTTACTGCAAATAAAGCCAAACAGTGTTTGTCATTTTAGTGTGAGATTAACTGTAAAACTTCAGTTGTAATGTTAAGAGATTATAGAACCTTATATTATTAATAAAAAGAAAATGAGCCTAAACAATTATGTGGTTTTGTGCTGAAACTAAAATATATTCTACTAACTTGTCATCTTTGATTGGCGGTGAACTTTTACATAAGGAAAACTATTAGGAAGGCTTTAGCACTTGCAGAGAGAAATGAGATTGCATTTGCAAATGTATGCTAAGGGAAGCTGTGCTTTCATGTCCTGTGTAAAGCAAAATAGGAAAATGAGAGAATATCAGCAAAGGAAGGGCAAAACAACACCTGAGCGCTGGTCTACTCAGTTTGGAAGTTTCACCTCCTCAGTATTCCCTGTTTGAGGAAGGGGACCATGTTCAACTGCTCTTGGAAAGCTCTCTCAATGTAATACAGGAGCATACCTTGTTTTACCTAGCTTCCCTGTATTTCAAAGACCTGTTGTATTAAGCTATTGCAACAGGTATATACTTTCCTGCTGTTGCATGCATGTCTCATTTAAAACCTCCTTGTTACAGGTCCTGGAATCTGCTTCAAAGTTCTGTGTGCAAGAAGGTACTGCATGGGAGCAGAAGAGGTATTTCTCAGTTATCTGCATTACTGCTATAAAGCTTTTATACCCTTTAAGCTAAAATGGCTGAAACTGTATCTTGCTCAAAAGAGCTGTTAAATTTGTCTTATGTTGATACGGTCAGTTTCTTCAAGTATTATTCAAAACCTGCAAAGGTCATAGTATGAAGGGGACAGGAGAAGTACATGGCTTAATCTGTAGAACTGTAACCATTTTTCAATATTAACCCATTTCTTGTGTGTGTATTCACAGGAAGGAGAAAACTATCTGACAAGCATTTTATTTGTTTCCCTTCTGTTAACAGCATAAAAATGTGGTATTTTCACTTAGATCTAGATAGTCTCAATTTGAAGGAGATCTTAGATGATGATATATTTGTCTCAGGATGACAACCAGATCCCATCAGTGTTCCCTTTGTTTAAAAAGTTTTATAGAAAGTTGGACCTGAACTCACAGCTGTGTAAATACTGTAGGCTCACTGTTTACGGTTTTGTAGTCCCAACATTGACTCTGAATTCCACATTAATATAAATTGATGTCTTTCCCTAGAGACCAGAATTGGCAGGTGGTTGCTTTGTTTGTGTCCGGCTTTAAGGTCTGCTGTGGTGCTCAAGAGCAGAGGTGGTCAGAGATTTTTCAAAAATGTTTGCCATACTGTCTTTGAAAAATACTGCTGTTGTCATTTTGAAATCATAAATTCATTTCAAAAATGTGTGGGATAAAGTACTTTATCTTATTGTTACTTGCAATATTTACCAATACAAGTTGCAATAATAGTTACCTCTATGGAAATGCTGTGAAATGTTTCATTTATGAATTTGTTTTTGCACTTTGGAAAAACAAAGCATTGGACTTTTAATGGGAACTCTATGAATGTTTCACTTTGATTCAAAGTAAAGCTAAATTTGTTTCAATTGACTGTTCAGATACTCTGCTATAACATTCTTATTTGAGAAACATTCAGCTATTTCTACCTTCATGGTAGTATGCAGTAGTCCCCAAGTATGGGGACGTAACAGCTTTTAAATGAATGTATTTGAATTAATGTATTTGTAGTGCTATAAAGTCTCATAGCAGCCTTCTAAAGGGTAAAATGGAAGTGTTGATCACACCAATGAAGTTGTAGGTATACAAAAAGATGATGGATAAAACCTTGTGATGTGACTGCAATCATGTAAAGTTTAAGCTGATGCTTCTAGGACTTCAGATCAAACTAGGATATAAATGAAAAATGTGTTTAAAAGCCACATTTTAAAATTGAACTATATTTTCTAATGATGAAGAATGTCAAATGATTGTCATAACTTTGCAGTTCAATATTGTGTGACTTGTCCTAGGGTGGCTGACCTCCTAAGATGCTTCTACAAAGCAAAACATGAAGTGGATGATCTCAAGACAGGGCCTTGATAAAGCTGCTCCCATTTCAGGCTGCTGGAAGGGCTTGGCTCTGTTCCTATGGGTAACACCAACATGCTGAGCATGTGGGTATCTGGTGTTGCTACTGCACCAGTCAGCGCTAGCTCAGCAACAAAATGTTCAAAGCAGTTTGAAGACAATGAATGGCATTGTTATGTACTCAAATGAAGTTCAGCAAATACTGAAAACATAAAAGGGCAGTTTGATAAGTTCAATTATTCATAAATTGGTTATCGATAGTGGCATTGATAAATGCAATCTTGACTAGACGCAAGCCTG